TGTACCCTCATAATCTTCTGTACTCTGCCGAAACGTTTGGCGGCCGTCGCCGACCGATACCAGACTGTGTGATTACGCTGCGCTTACACTCCTGTCACCGTACACTCTCCACAACACAAGCGGTCTTTGCTAACTGACATTAGTCTGCGGTTGCATTCCCGTCTGAAGCAATTGCAGCGACGCGCGTTACAGCGTGTATACGCGCGTCATCGCCAAGTCTGAACACTCCCTAACTCTAATAAGGGCCTGATGGTAGTGGAAAGTTATAGCATCGTAAGTACTGAGGTTCAAATAGGAAATTATAGGTGCTGAATGTGAGGGAAAACAGAATCCAAGGAATTGTCTTCAGCACAGCCCTTCTTTTTCGGTTGATTTTGAGCATGAGGAGAAATATGTGGAAGGCAGAGGGACACTGTTAGCGTAGCCGAGAAGACCAAGAACGAGAGATCAGAAAGACAAGATAGATGACAGAAACCGACGAATTCGCCGGTGGCTTCACTTTGGTGGGGAACGGTGTGTTACGGCTAGTGACAACCTCAGCGCTCCCTCTCTTATTTCCGAGCCGCAAAGATGGTTAAATCTCTGCGAAATCGAATCGCGCCATGCTGTGCGCGAAAAGGAGTCTATCTATCAGGTGATAAGGGACTACCAGTGAGTTTAGACAATGATATTTCACAAAAAGGCAGCGCTCAGACTTGCGATGATGCACGTCGACGCTACCATTGAAGTACCGCACCAAAGCTATATACGAAAACACGATCAAACATCGGTATCGATCGGCTGCTAGTATTTTGGGAGAGTATCAAGGATATGAGAGTACCAGGCTGTATGATCAGACAACGCGTACTCCCGTGTTCTCTTACACCTTTCTTTCTGGCGCCGATCGATACCCGTCAAGAGCAATGGCGTAAATGCGTGCGCGTCATCGTAAAGTGTGAACGCTGCCCAACGTCAATGGCGTTGCGCTATCCTGGATGCCCCAGAAACACTTTATGTACAACTGAATCGACAGTTTATTTACCAGCCTTTACACTCTTCCCCCCCCCCCCCAGCACGTAGCTTTCGAGTGTGCAGTCAACACTATAACATACAGACATGCAAATATCTCACCTTGAATTGATCGTTGTGCGCTGCAATTTGTTCTACCCATGTGAGTAATGTCCGAGTAATGGTTGCATACGACGAGAAGTCTACTTTTTCAACGAACGATGAAAAGCAATCGTCGAGCAGAATTTGTAACTGAAAAGAGATGATTCTCCACACTGGACCATTATTTCAAAACCAGGGTTTCTGTATCGTTATGCTTATTTCCCGAGGCTGTTAGCTGGATCTTTATTCGGCTTACAAGTCGGCTTTTTTGCATTTCAAAACACCTACACATGACCCAAATGTTTGGAAATGTTGGCCATCCCAACGAGTAGACCCTTTA